AGCGGGAGCACAACACTTTTTCCCGCCCATTCGCATCCGCATTCGCGCGCTCATCCGGCCACACTAGCATCTCCCAAGAGTTTTCTGAGCTGCTCCAAAACGTCGGGATGCAATGCGTGCACATCGTCCCTGGTGAGCGTCGATACGTCCTTGGTCGTTCCATTTGCCAATTGCATGGACAGTCTAGCTCCTTTGCTTGACGACGTCGTAGCAGCAGCGTTGGTCTTGTTCGCGCTCGCCCCAGCAAGATCGGCTCGAGAGGAGGATGGAGCGCAAGAGCTGGAAGAAGAAGGTGCGGGTCGGGACTGAGAGGCGGATTGCGACTCTTTCCACCTTCCTCGTCCTCCCGCAATAGGAGGTCCAGACGATTCTTGCCTCGTCTTTGTATTTGCGCTGCTCCCATCGTCGGATACAGACCCGCTGCTAGCAGGCGCATTCGAGTTGCTCGAAGACGGTAGCGTCTGCGCTCCCAATTTTCTCTGCGCTCTTTCGTGTTGCGCTACGTATTGACGCATCAGCTTGTCTTCGTCCGGCAGAGCCAACGAGTCGGATTGATCGGCCATCGTCGATTCGTCTTGCAATGGAGCACGAACGTCCTGCAATGGAGCACGAACGTCTTGCAATGGAGCACGAACGTCCTGCAATGGAGCACGAACATCATCCTCTCCGTTCCTGAGAGCATCCCCACGAGCACTTTTCGACGCGTGCTGTTCGTAAGCTGCGCCAGCAGAGGAGGAGGAAGAAGAGGAGGATTGCAACAGTGGGTTTCTCCTATACACTGCTCCAGTCGCATTGCTGATCCTACCGCCCATCTCCGCATCCCTCGCATCTCGCATCAAAGGCTGCAGCACTCCTCCCACAACCACGCCCGTCACAGCCTTTCCATCGCTCGTATAAAACTTGACCATTTCGCCCTCTTGAGCCGTGCGCGAGGCGGAGGCGGATGGCGCACCGTTGGCGTCGCTCGAGCGCGCAGGCACGACGGTGGAAGAGGGATCGTGTGCGCGAGCGCTCAAAGAGAGCTTCTTGGCTGGAGAGGGAATGGATGGATTGAAAGAGGAGGAAGGTGGTCTTTGCTTCTCCTCACTGCTCGCTTCGCCGCTCCGACTGGTGCTTGGCTGCGATGTGCATGGGTGACAAAAAAGACGACGTCGTGAGCGACGACGGCGGAGTGATAAAGTGCGCTACTCACAATGTTGTCGGCTGCTGCTTTGGCACTTTGAGCCGTCGAAGCGTTTCGTCGGGACGTTTTCACCCGGCTCTTGTCCGCAAGACGAGCTACAAGGAGTCGGACGGGTGTAGGATGAGCAGCATTCACCTCATTGCATCGCCTCGCTTCACAAGACGAGCGCTCACCATTCTTGTTCTTGTTCTCATCAGCATCTTCCTCCTCCTCTCCTCTCCTTTTACCTCTTCCCTTTGTCTTTTCCGCCAACTTGTCCCAATCCTCCCTCTCCACACCCGCCCCCCTTCCCTCCGTCAATCTGCCATTGCCCGCTCGACTCATGACCAACTTGCCATCCGCCTCGTACTCCCTCACAAACTCTCCAAGCGTCATGCGCCGAACGACGCTGGGCAGGCGGGTGATGTAGAGGGACATTTGCTGCGTGGCGAGGGACAAGGAGTGGGAGAGGGAAGCTTGCAGCGTGGACACCTGACGCGAGGCTGGGGGGGGGTCGCGCGCGGACGCGGACGCGGGGGGGCGGAGATCGTATCAGCCATGGCGGTGCGGGAAGGTTGTGACAAGACGAACGACAGGGAAGCACAAGGTGCAACTCACACTCTAAATCGTAATTGTCTAGGAACCCAGAAATGGCATTTTCGGGCACCACGCCTGCCTGCGTCTCGACCACATCCACCTCCTCGCTGTGAGCGCTCGTGACCTCCTTGCCCGTCTTTGTTCTCGCCGTCGCCGTCAATGTCGCCTTTTTGCTCTTCTTCACTCCACCCGCCTCTTCGCGTTTCTTTCGTTGCTGACCATCCATCTCATCCTGCGCTTCCTCCTTCTGCT